TATTCTTTTCGAAGCTTATCATTTTAGAAGCTTATTATTTAAGAATCGTATTATTTTAAAAGCTTATTATTTTATGAGCTCATTCTTTTAGAAGCTTATTATTTTAGGAGCTTTTTTATAGAAGTGTATTCTTTAAAAATGTTAATCCTTTTAGAAGCTTATTCGTTTAGAAGCTTATTCTTAAAGAAGCTTATTCTTTCGGCAACTTGTTCTTTTTTTCCTTGATTTGTTTTCCGCCGATCTTGTTTTCCGTGCTTAGCACCAATGCTACCGACGTGCCAGGAAGGCAGCTCCCACACCTGGACCCTATCTATCGACCCATCAACTCATGACCCGGGACCAACGGCTTTACTTCCCTTCCAAAGAAAGGCGTGATCAGAGATGTTATGCCTCAGAACATCCCGGCGGCACCGACTGGGATTGAACCCAGGCCTGCTGGTGTGAGATAATCATGCTTACCACTACACCACCGGCGCCACTAACTTGTTCCTTTAGAAGCTTATTCTTTTGGAAGATTATGCCTTTAGAAGCATATTCTTTTTGAAACTTATCCATCTAGTAGTTTATTAATTTTGAAGCTTAGTCTTATAGCAGCTTATTCTTTTAGAAGCTTATTCTTTTAGAAACTTATTCTATTAGAAGCTAATTATTTTATAACCTTATACTTTTAGAAGATTATTCTTTTTGAAACTTATCCTTCTAGAAGCTTATTCATTTGGAAGCTTAGTGTTATAGCAGCTTATTCTTTTATAAGCTTATTCTTTTAAAATCGTTTTCTTTTAGAATCTTATGCTTTTAGAAGCTTATTCAAGTAACCATAGGCACGTTATTTCGCCTTTTTGGGTATATACGGGCCTCATCAGAGCTTGCAAACACTGGTATCGCCGTTGTTCAGCTGGATATAGCCAAAAAAAGGCGAAAGGCGAAGATTATTCCTTTAGAAGCTTATTCCTTTAGAAGCATATTCTAGACGCTTGACCGTCGCTTCGCTCCTCTGACTATAAAAAATGCGTGATAGTACATTAGACCTGTTTATTTTAACAGAAATGTGCGGAATGCACCGAGTTAACCGTGATTACTGTTCTTCATGTTAATTTGAACCTATGTGCAAATTTTCAGCAATTTATAAAATAACGAACATTTTGGATGGCTCGAGTGACACTTGTCATTGATAAAAAAAACACGTCTACTGAGGATTCATATTTCTAAAAAAAAATCATCTATCAATGAAACAGTCATCGGTCGTCATTGAAAAGCAATGCAACTATGTTCTGGCAATCTAATTGAAACTTCTATTGGCTTTGTTGTTTTGTGAATTTTAGCTGTAGCGGCCTGTTTTCTGATTTTAATCTCTCAAACTATGAAATCTACACGAAAACTATGTTTGAACGAAATTTCTAGAACAGTATAAGAAACAATATGCTGCAGACTAAACATTTTTATATCATATAGGTGGAAAGTTTGTAGAACAAATTCTTTAAAAATCTTCATTTTTTAAGATATCTTCGAGCATGAAACTTAGTGAAACTTCAATAAAATCACTTTATATAGTCAACCTTTGATCACAAAGTTGGTAAATAACACATTAAGCTTTGCTATGAAAGTTGTTACAGCAGTTTTCTTTGTTTCAGTCTCGAGATACAAGTATTATAAGCCGTAAATTACTTTAAAAACATAAAATTAACTTGAAGGACCTCTAAATCATCACCGATTTTGCTGAAAATTTGCATAGAATTTCATTTTAACACGACGAACAGTAATTACGGTTAACTCGGTGCATCCCGAACATTTCTGTTAAAATCAACAGGTCTACAGTAATATGAGTAGCTACGCAGCAACGGAGCACTTTTCCAAACAAATTTAAAAAAATATTGTTTAAAACATGATAAGCAGGGCTGGAAAGCACCTCAGAGCGTTAGCAAAGCAACTTTGTGCATGCATCTCACAACACTCGACAAAGAGTGTGTGGTTCTCCCATTTACTTCGCACACTCTTTTCCAACTAATCTGTGAGAAAGCGATCCACACAATGAGCGGTACACTCCGTGTGACGCAGGGAGTGAATATAATACAACAAGCGCTAATGGCTTCTTTGAATTCTTTGCAGACTTTGCTTATCACGACTGCATGCATAGGAGATGAAGAAGAGCATAACGAAGAAGAATTTTGTCTTTTTGCTGGGTTTCCCATTTGCAACCCTACACTGAGTGGCGCTCTTTGCGTCGGACCCGTCGGAGCGATGGCTACACATTGAGCTTTCGTTATTTCTGGGTGTGTGTCTGTCTTCTCTTCTCCGCTACTTCACACTTGCGCAGGGTGAAAGACAAGCAAACTTTGTGTTTGCTTGATTCTCACTATGTTTATTTCAGAAAATCAGTACATTGCGCACATTGAGGGATAAGATGACAGCCCTGATGATAAGTGATGTCTAATGCATAGATCATACCACTATCTGTTTGTGCGCAAACATGATTTTCTATGGATCAATTTCGTTAGTTTAAGTTTCATTGTTGTAAACGTTGGATGGATGTTTTAAAATATGTTTACGAATAATTCTTACAATTTCAATGTTTATTCTGTAGAAACTGAGCCGTACATTGTTTAATAATTGTGCTGTGGAATTTAATTTAACATGACATTTCAATCATTTAAATTTGTCGAACCTCTTAACGGAATCCCTTTATGAAGAGCTATTAGTGGGTTGGTTTATTTCCTTTAAATTTCGTTATAATTGCTTATCTTTTGATAGATACGCGTATGTCGTCTACTACTTGCAGACTTCATCAGTGCCAGTACTCAGTGCTGTTGAGTACTTGGCACTGATGAAGTCTGCAAGTAGTAGACGATATACGCATATCTGTCTAAAGATAAGTAATTATAATGGAATTTAAAGGAAATAAACAAACCCACTCAAAGCTCTGCATAACATTTCAATCATATTGATATTTTTTATGGCTAATTCACACTTTTTTAGTGATTTTTACTGGGGATTATGGATCAATCGGGTGATTTTCATTTTTTATAGGTCCTTTTATCAAAGCTATGTATGCCCTTTAAAACGTAGGGCTGCCTAGAGGGGTGCTTATTATTAACTGGTCCAGTAGGTGTAATTGTTTTTGAATCAGTGATGTTCGGTTCTCGATGTGTAAAGGAAATTCATGGAAAAACTTTACACATGTTAAAACCCACAAATCTGATGCCTCAGTTAGCAATTGGACATGATGAACTTGATTGACCGCCCGTAGTTGTTTCTCCGTTATTAATTTATTTACTTATTGCCGTAACCGTTTACACGAATGTGGCTGTTGGAAAATTATCAAACCCAAGTTTTATCCGTGGACCTATTGGTGAATTTAAGTAACGGTCGACCAGCAGATGGAAATGGTGTGAAAAATGATAATGACGTTTTGCTACCTGTCAAATCGTGTGGAATATTTTTTAGTACATCATCAGTCTTGTAATTGCAAATCTGAAAACTAGGTGTCGCATGGCCAGTTTCACATCTGCTTAAATTCATCAATAGAAAGTCTTGTGGATGCAACAAGGGTAATTTATTCTGCTCTCAAGATATTCCACTATGTGGTCGAATCCTAGGAAAACCATCAAAATTGTCAGAAATGCGTTGATGATAACGATATGTTATCGGTAAGATCGTTTTCGCAAAACTATCGACAACTCTTATGGTCTTAATGGTTGAGTGGCAAGTTTCTTTGCCTCTCATTCCAGTGGGTCTTGGCTGGGATCAATCCCAGCTGAAGTAGATGAAATTTTCTGAGGTCACGTCTATCTTCTGAAGGGAAGTAAAGCCTTTGCTCCCGGTACATGGGTTGAAGAGTTCGATATACAAAGTCCAGGTGGAGCCGCTTTCCTGGCTTTGGCGAGTGGCAGTTACTTTGCACGATATCGTGGTTTTGGTATTCTATCATTTTCAAATACTGGTCAAGAAATGTTCCATAAAAATTCAAAAGATAATGGTGACCATGCGGTCATAGAAATAATTTGATGAGTTAATTTCAATTGTACGTACAAATGCATTATTTAAATGCAGTTTGAACTTTCTCCTATAAACCTCAACCGAGTTTAATACTTGTAGGTATCATCAAAATTATTGATATTATTTGTGTTACAATTTGTCACCCGTTTGAACAAAGCATAAAAGTAAACACAATGAATAAAACGAATTATGGTGTGTTTGAATCGTTAATATAATCAAAATTTTGAATCACTTACCCTCTACCTGTCGAAAGTAAACAGAGCACCAAAAAAACATATTCGCCAAAAATATTCGTTCCTGCTTTTCACCCGATTCTCGCACGTCTTCTGAACGTAAACACAATTTCAATCAATTCCCTGTCCTCTCGTCCCTTCCACCTCCTCCAGTAAAGCAACAATGTGCGAATCAACCGAACTTGGTCGAAAACACAAACGGATTATAATATACCAATGCATCACACGCTCTATCTATCTATGCCATACATGTGCCTACCTCCTGTTGCTGCAACGCATGCCGACTTATTAATAATCCTCTCGGTCGCACTCCTCCTGTCCAATGTTGGTGTTATCATCGTCGCACGCCGTCACGGAGTAGGTAGGTGGGTAGCAAGGGAGGTCCAGGAGGGATGGGATGCACTTTTGTTTTTGCTCCATCCAGAAACGAACTCGGTTTTGATAAAGCGAAATCGACCGCTTCACTGGCAGACTCTTCTGTAGAGACGCTTCCCATATAGGCTATACCTACTCATGCCGTTTGTGTGACGAATGAAAAAATAAAAAAAAATAACAGAGGAAAGGAGAACTCCACTCCTCGCGCCTGACTCGCGAGTCAAATCGCGTAAATTAGAGGATTATGTAATTTTTGTTTTTGTGGCCAAGAATAAACCAGCCCCGACAAGTGCACCAACACCATTCATTCGGGGCTGGTACAGAATTGATAAGAAGCACTTAGCAGCAGCACCGGCCAGGTAACAGCGGTACTAATTGCGATTTCTTGTTTGTTTACAGTTTCGCCGTTTGTTGGAGCAAGGCAACCGGGACCTGACCGGATCGAACCGTTGCTCCAAGTGTTCGCCCGATTGCAGCGACTCCTGCAAGCTGCATCCGGTCCAGCAGGGTGAGGTATCGTCGACCGAACCCCCACTACCGGAACCGTCCGTCAACGGACACTCACCGGAAAAGTCGGCCTATTTCGAGGCGGTCAAGTACTACATCTCCAACGTCGGCTGGGTCCTTCTCGAGATCAACTCGGAGGGCGTCATCGAATGTGCCACCGACAACGTGCTGGACGTGCTGCACTACACCCGTACCGAGCTGCACGGACAGTCTATCTATTCGTACCTGCATACTGGTGATCATTCAAAGTTGAGTCCTATATTAAATAAGAATTCGTTTGAGCTAAACTGGGATCAAAATGAGGTACGTAACTTGACAGTTTAATTGCATTTCCAAGATCATAATTTCCACTTCTTGCAGTTTCTACAGCCACCAAAGCGAACGATCCGGACGAAGATTCGCTGGCTACTGAAGGCACCGGAGAGTGCCAACGATACAATCGAGCAGAAGCAGCAACGCCAGGAAAAGTACAAGGACCTGCTTATCATTTCCGCTCCCGTAAAGGATGATACCGACACCGAGTCGTCGTCGGTGCTTTGCCTAATCACACTACCAGAGGACGAACACCATCAGGGCCCTGCCATCGAGAGCCACACTATGCCACAGACGCTGGACGAGCAGCTGACGCTCAAGCTGGACATGACTGGCGCCGTCATCGGTAAGTACTCCTGAACCATCATAGATCATTGCTCGGTAACCATGTGCTCTCTTTCCGCAGACTTTGATGCAGCGACGCTGAGGAAACAATTCATGGGATATCTAACCAAAGAGACTGTACGGTCAATCCACGATCTCTGCCACTTCCAGGATCGGCCCCGGCTGAGCGAACACCTCCAGAATGTGATGAATGCAAACGGAGCCGCACAGGTTTCGTCGTACCGGTTGCGTCTGGGCGGACCGGACGTATACGTTCACGTCAAAGCCCAGACGAGATTATTCCGTAGCAACAAACCGAGCGAACCGGACTTTGTCATGGCCATTCACACGATCCTCAACGACAACGAGATCGCCATGGTGGAGAGTGGCTTGAACAACCCGTCGTCGTCTTCGTCGTCCGGTCTAGCGATGCCTAGTACTAGTAGTGGAGGAAGCGGTGGCAGTGCGACTAGTGGTAGTGGCAGCAGTAGTACGGCCCGTCAACTTCAGCAGATCACCCAAGGAGTTAGCAACATGGGCGGACCGCTAATGTCCAGTATATTAAACGGAGGTGGTGGGAACGGTGCAGGATCCGGGGGACCAGGTGGATCCAGTGGCCTCCCAGGAGCACTAGGATCAGTAGTTTCACCTAGAAGTAATATAAACTCCTTGGATGGTTCAGGCTTCTACCCATCGGAGTTTGATTTCGAATTTCCACATTCCACATACGAAATGGAGTCAGTCGGCGTCTCCTGGGACTCGAGGCCAGATTCACGAACCAGCGTAACACCGGTCAGCACTCCACGGCCTCCATCGGTGACGGCGTACAGTCCGGCCGCGGCTCCGATGTGCCCCTCGCCGCTGACTCCATACCATGCCAGCAGTGCCGGAGGGCAACCTTCTCCCTCGAACAACAACACCAACCAACAGGTTAACAACAACAATAACAACAACAGTATGACCAACAACAATGCTGGTCCATTCGGTGGCAACAGCTTCCAGTTTCCGTTCGATGACAAGGAGAAAATCCAAGAGCAAATTCTTCAACAGCAGCAGCAGCAACAGCAACTGCAACAGCAACAGGCACAGCAGCAACAGCAGCAGCAGCAACAACAACAGCAGCAGCAGGCCTCACACGACTCAGAGCGATTGCGTAATCTACTGACAACCAAACGACCTCACTCAAATGCCTCGTCCTCGTCTGGTATGGATATGGACCATGACCACCGGAATCCGAATCGGATCCTGAAGGTAGGTGTCTACCCTCTTTTTCGTGTGGTCCCAAGGTGAAGGGTGGCTCTGTGTGCTCTAATAACGCCAGTGCTTGTAACTAAAGTATTAGGTTATAGGTGTGTATGGGAAATGGGTCGGTTGGCATCCAGATCGTGACTCTGAACTTTGCGTTAGAGGAATGAGAGATTGCACTTCGCTTTCTGAAGGTGTACTCCGAAAGGATTCTGATCGAGCTAACGTGAATAGCACAAACTCTCGGTCCAAGAATTCTCAAACACTGGGAACTGTCGGAACGCATGAAAGTTCGGGAATTCTGAAAAAATTCGTGAAGAGCTCCTGATACTCTCGAGACTCTAATAACTTACGAAAATTTCGTAGATCTGCATATTTTTTTATCATTCCACTGACCTTGGAGATCCTGGATGTTCGAGCGCATTGTAAAATGGGATTCGAGGAAGTCAGAGAATACCGAGAGTTCCAATATTTACATGAGAAACGGGATCTCCTGATGCTCCTGCAGTTCTTGAAATTGTAAGATATCAGAACAGACATGAAGACAGCATTTCTGGTAGAACTGGGAATTCCAGAAATTCCTTGACTTCTAAGTGTTTCACGAGTCCCCAGAACAGCGGGAGCTCCAGGAATTCCATACTCCAAAGGGGGCAGCTCAACGAATTTGAAATATATGTAATTGTTTTTCAAGATCGTATTCTCAGAACTCAAAGAGATCCCAAATAACGAGAACTCCCGACCTGTGCCGGAAATCACGGAACTTTTGAACTACGTCAGGTTGCCTCAAAATTCCCGCAAGTTTTGTAGTTTCATAAATTCCCATAACTTCTAATCCTTTGTCAATCATTTGCAAATCCTATAACCCCAGGAATTTCTTTAACTTTTACTACTGGATGCGACCCAACGGACATTGAAAGTTTAATAAGATTGTATTCAGCTAAACAATGCTTCTTCAACAATAGCTTATTCAGCATTAAGTCAGCTCAAATTGTTTGTTGAGTAAGAGCTGTCCAACTTTTGAATCTCCAGAAACTCATGCAATTCTTGAAACTTTCGAAATCTTGGGAAATTTGAAATTTTGGTTATGTCAGTACTCTCAAAATCGATCACAAAGAATTTCCCGGAAATCCTGAATACTGGAACAAAGTACAAACCACTTTCGTATCTCCTGAAACACTCAAAGCTTCGGTACTACCAACATCGAGAGTACAATAAATCCACAAAATACTCAGATCTTCCGAAATTCCGACAGGTACTAAGAACTGCCTGGTCTCAATGATTTCCCGAAACTTCAGAATCTCTTGATACTCAGAAATGATTCTCAACTACGATATTAAATGGAACTGTAGCTGTCTCAGTATTTCCCAACTTATTTTCAGTACTTATGATACTCAAGATAGTCCATAAACTGCCAAAACTCGGAGTGCCAATGGAACACAATAAACAATCACAATCCGATACTATTGAAGCTCTTGGAGCTGCAAGAAATCTGGAAACTACCGGTACTACTGAAACAGAAAAAGCTCACAGAACTCTGGAAGAACTTCCCAAAAATGTGAGTGCTTATGGAACATGAATATCATTCGCAATTTATGCAGCTCCTTTAACCTCAAGGATTTTTAATACAGGGTACGAGTAACTTTATTTTCCAACTTTATTTAAGTAATTTTCAGTCGTGGGCTGGTTCATCACTGGTACGAAAAACTGTCTAAGCAATCGGAACTCCTAAATCTCTCAAAATTCCTGAAACATCCAGAATTTCGATAAATTCAAAACTATGGCTTTGCCGGTGCTCTCAAATTTCCCGGAAATCCACGACCAGCTGAAACTACTGAATGTACTAAGAACTGCATAAACTTTCGGATCTCCTAAAACTCTGTGAAGTCCGTACACATTCCAAAACTACAATCTCTCAGAACTACCGAAACTTCTCGAAACTAAGTTGATGGAATTTCAGGAGCTTCCGAAATTCATAAAATTTCTTGGAAACTTCAAAATCTCATGAAACTCCTTCAATTGTCGGAACTCTGAGAGCTCCAGAAGCTCAATTAACTGTTCAAAAACTATCGGTGCATTAAGAAATCATGAAACTGCAGTGAATCCGTAAAGTTCTAGTATTCCCAGAATTGCATCAGCTGACAGAACTTTTCGAAAATTGCCCGACAATTTGGGAGCTTGAGAGAACCTCGTAACTCGTAAAATTGCAGAATCTTACAGAACTCCTATTTTTTTTTCTTAATTCTTTGCAACTTGAAACCTCCAAAAACTTCAGCAAGTTTTGCTCTTAGATACTATGAACTGCCCACACATTCGAAACTCCACGAAATAAGGGCACTTCGTACTGATGGACGGTGGTAGAACTTTGTCAGCAGCGGTAGAACTCTACGGTAGCCGCCAAATGTATATTATTCTTAAGATCCGCAAGGTCATACTGCTTCAATAGTAACTCTCTGAAAATTCATGCAACATTGTGAAACTTCTGGAAATCATGAAACTCTCTGAGATGAAAGAACTCTGGAAGCTTTAGGAGCTCTAGTTTCCCTCCAAAAACTTCCGCTAGCATTTGAACTCTTAGTACTGCAGGAATCCAAGAAACTTGCAATTCTTCTGGAACTACAGCAGCTCATAAAATTTCCGAAAAGGTCAGAGCTTTCTGAACTCAAGCGCCTCTCCCAAATATTGAAATTCTATAAACTCCTAGTGCTAACGAAACCTTCAAAAGTCCTTGCAGCTGTTCCACGAGCTAGGAACTAGGAACTGCCTAAATTCTCGGAACTCCTGGAATTTAGGAATGTTGGTACTTCCGATGATCTAAGACCTACTGATACTCCAGGCCTGGGAAATGGTACGAGCTGTATAAACTTTGTGAACTCCAGAAATTATGATACTCTCTGAATTGTAAAACCTCTGAAAGCTTGGGAACTTCAGTTACACTCTGAAAACTTCTGGCACCTTTTAAAGTCCTTGAGCTGTAGGCATCCTTGAAGCTCGCAGTTCTGCCAGAACTGTATCAGCTTATAGAGGCATTCAAGAAATTCCCGAGAGTTTGTAGTACTTAAGCATCTCTTCTAACTCTATAAATTCTACCGATTATTGCTAGTGCTCCTAAAACCTTAAAAATTCCATGTAGCTCAAGGATCGCTAGGATTTTCTGTAAAACTCCTACAATTTAGAAATATCCAGGATCCAAGATCAACTGGCACTCTAGGATGTATCAAGATCTGCGTAAACCATCGGAGCTCCTAAAACTCTCAGATCTGTAAACTTATAAAACTTTCTTAAATTCGGTAATTGCTGGATCTTTCCAATGACTTTTCTAAACTTTTATAACTCAACACATCCTGAAGCTGTCGGAACTCCAGGAACTTTAGTAGCTCTCCAAAAACTCCTAGAGCTAGAGTAAGGCAAGACATTCCCAACTGCTTTGTACCTGCTGTAACTCATAAAGCTCTGCTAGAAGCAAAAATCCAAGACCAACTGAACTCCGTGAAATCCTACGAACTGCATGAGCTATGGGAACTACACAAACTCACAGAAATTCCCAACAACTTTTTGGAACATTTGTGAATTATGAATCGCTGAATTGTAAGATCTCTGAGAGCTTTAGGAACTCAAGTTACGCTCCAAAAACTTCCGGCATATTTTGAACTCCTAGAGCTGCTAGAATCCAAGAAGTTCGCAACACTTCCGGGACTATAGCAGCATTTAGAAGTCTTCAAGAATTTCACGAGCTTGGATGGATCCTAAGCATCTATCTCAACTCTTCAAATTCTATGAATTTCTAGTGCTTTTCAAAGGTTTTCAACATTCGCTGGAACTCCTGAAAATTTAGGAATGTCGATACACCCAAGAGTCCTAGATCTACTGAATCTCCGCCATGTACAAAGAACTCCGAAAACTCCCACAACTACATTAGCTCTCAGAATGTCTGAAACTTCCGGATCATTCGAAACTCTAAAAAATGTCTTGATCTTTCCAAATACTTCATGATTATTCTAAAAATGAATAACTCCTGAACTGTTCCAGGAGCTCTAGTAACTCTCCAAACACTCCCAGTACTATTTGAACTCCTAGAACTGAAGGAATACAAGCAATTCCCAATGCTGCCGAAACTGCAGCAGCTCATAAAATTCTTCAAGACATGAAAATTTTAGAGTTTATCAAACTTAACGAGCTCTCGTAGCTCAGGAAATTCCCGAAATTCCCTGAGCTCCTATAATTTTCGTAATTCTTGCAGCCCGTGGAACGCCCAGGAACTAATGCATTTTTTACTGCTAAACCCTAGGAACTGTATGATCGAAATTTCCAGAACTTTCGTAACTTTTGTCTTAGGAGCCTCTGAATTCTCAATCTGTTTTTAGAGTTCCCGACGCAAGAAGCTGTCGGACGTTTAAGCAAGTCTGAAATTTAACAAAATTTTCCCAAAATGTTTGAGAGGAGTTCCATAAACTTCCTGTAATTTTAGAACTATAGCAATATAAAGAACATTTTTTCCGGGTTTTTTTTATAATATTTGAAATTTAAATTTTTCGGAGCTAACGAAACTCCTAACATAATTCTTCAGATATTGCAGTATTCCGGATTATTGCAAACTCCAAAAAAATACGCAGTTTACGAAATTTCGCTAGCGGACTGCCGGACTTTAAGAATTAGTGTGTTCAAAGGATTTCGCCATTTCCTGGAGTTCCCGATGTTTTTAAAATGTGGGAAGTTCCCGGAATTCTGGAAGCGTCTAAATTAATATGGAATCCTCAGAGTACCACGAACTCTGGGAGTTCATGAGATTCCGAGAAATCGAAGCTTTTTCCGGAGAAATTATACTGCTGAAATTGAAAACGTTTCGTGTGGTTTCGAAAGTTTTGGAAGTCCTGGAAATTTCTGAAGTTCATGGAGATTTCTTGAATCCCGAGAATTCTTGATGTTCATGGATTTCTGGTTTTCAAAGAGGTCTGGATAATCTGCGGCGGAAACGGAAAAAGGTCAATAGCTTAATCTTTTTTCTTTGAATTTGGATGGATTTTTTAGCATCTGAAGCCGTGTTTGGTAACACTGTTTACCTTAAGATACTTTAAAATTCAACTCGTTTTGTTCTTCTGAAGAACCGATTTTTTTGGATGTCTACATACCACGTCGACAGTTTAGAGAGCCCCCTCTCTTGTTATTAATTTGCACTGATTTCGTGAGGGGAAAAACCTCTCGAACCTTGAAAACGCCACGCTCAAATGCGATCCCGACCGACCCAGGCCATCATCTTATGGAATCTAAGCTCTAGTTCTATCCCTACTCTTCTTCAGCCGATATTTCCATCAAAATTCAATCACTGCCGACTCCCGTAGCATAATTATCCTTCCATCATCCGCACAAATCACAGTCTGTCCTTCCTATGCGCGACTTCAAACCCAAAAAAAATCGTGCACCGTTCGATTACCTGTACCGCACTCCATTCCCAAAAAAACAACTTCTGTATACTTGTAGGGCTTGCTAAATTCCGAAGAAGATAAGGATAGTAATGGAAATAAATTAAGTACCGCAACTCTTTCGCAACGTTTACCTCAGTCAGTTAGAGCCCAGAGTCAGTCGCAGGGTGGTGGCTTGGGGGGCATCCGTCCGCCAGGCAATGAAATCAAGTCTGGTAGCAATAATATGCTATTGCAGGTAGGCTGTCTCTCTAGCTCTCCTTTCTTCTCCTTCTCCTCCTCTGACTGCCAGGCATGTCAACGCAAAGAAAAAGCCGCTGCCTAACGAATCACTTAAGAACCAGAACCTAGCAGTGCCGTGCGGTGCTTTGACATGTCTAAACGGTCTATTTCTATCCATGTTTGCACATAGAACCGATTCCTTCCTCACAACTATTTTGAATATTTTATTTTATTCCACGCAGATTTTGACTCTCTGTGAGCTCCCACTTTGAAAGTTTGCTTGAATTGTTTCTGATTTAGCACATATATCTTTTGATAGAACATTTGTTACCTGCATTATAATTACCAACCATGCTTCTTGTAACTGACTGAGTGACGGAAAAGGAGATGTTCAATTCCAATCGGTCTCTAACTGAAAACCCTCATTTTCTTCTCCGTAGCTGCTCAACGAGAAAAGCGATGACGATGATGCGGAGACGCGGAACCGGTCGAGTGAACTGCTGAGGCAGCTGCAGAAGGTCAAAGTACGACTCGCCGATCTCTGATATTTGATGATTTTTGTACACATTACTAACCAATCTGTCCCCCATTGCAGGATGAACCCAAGGAGCACCCGGTCCAGCCTAGCAACGAGGAACTAATGCAGATGCTCCGATTCCAGGGTAATGACCGCAAGCGACCTTCTAACGAGCCGGACGAAGGAGCCCCGGCGAAACGTCCCGATGACAAACCGTCCAAGCTACGCGAGAAGAACAAAATGTTGGCCTCGTTGTTGGCCAATCCGGCCAAAGCACCGACCCAGATGCTGCCCAGTCATATGCCACTGCGCATCATACCCGACATACCCACCTCCAATGTGACACGCCAGTTGGTTAACGTATCCAGCTCGACCGCTCCGAATCAGACCATCAACAATAACAACCTTACAACCAGCAACAATAATCTGAAGCATATACAACAGATGAACCATCTGCGGATGCAGCAGATGCGCAAATCCGCAATGCCTTCACAATCGCAACAGCCACCTACTTCATCCGATATCTACCTCAACCACCAGCACCTGCAGCAGCAGCAACAGGCCCTGCTCCAACAACAGCTGATTGCCGCCCAGCAGCGACAGCAGAACTTCTCTCCGGCTATCCAGGACTCGGGCATCGGCTCGGTCGGTAGCGGTCCGTTCGCAACGCCATCGTCGGCCACTTCGACCACCAGCCATGCCACGCCCGAGTGGGACCCGGAACTGAACGAAATACTTAACCACGTTATCGATATTGCACCCGACGGTAACTTTACCGATAGCGAACTCAATAGTTTCTTAGGTTCGATCGAGTCATCGGCATCGAACACTCCAGCCCAATCCAGCCAGCAAGATATGCAGGAAAAGCTGGCCATCAATGCAATTCAGAAGTCTCTGATGCAGATTGAAAACGTCACCTCACCCATGCAGTACAGTGGAAGTCCTCCGGCATATCCGATACACGGGATGGGTTCGGTTGGTTCACCAGGTCAAATGTCGCAACAAACCCCGGGCACTCCCACTACGCCAAATCCCAACTTCACGCCACCTCCAGTCTACCAGTCACCACGAATGCGGATGTCCGGCCCTGGTGGACCGGGCGTTGGTCAGCTTGGAAATGGTGCTCCGAGTCCGGCCGCCTTAACTTTGCAAAAACTGCAACAGCGCGAACGGATACTTCAGGAACAACACCGACAACGATTGCTCCAACAGCAGAAGCAGCAGCAGATGGTCGTACCGGTGAATGCCACAGCTAATGCCGATCTGAACCGTAAGTAACCCCCGCAGAGTTCCGTATTTTCTATTGTCGTAGAATGTTAGGCCCCGTAGCAAATCCCCATGTTTGAACAAACCCCTCGTTACTAATTTCCAGTGGGATTAACTCCAGGTATGCAGAACATCGAATCGCTGCTAAACAACACCGTCGCTCCGAACGTATCGTTAACGCGAGCCAACAGCGTTGTGCCCGACTCGCAACTTAGTCCCGGTTTCTCACCTAGCCAACTGATGCAACAACAGCTGAGTCCCAGTCAGCGAACGCAACTTAGTCCCCAGCAGACAGGTACGTTCCCCTCCACCACCCGCTCGAATAACCGTAAACTCCATCAAACCACATTCAACCAAGCAGGATTCCAAGGCAATCCCTTCAACAATAATCCGGGTCATCGGATGTCACCTCAACAGCAGCAGCAGCTGGTCGCTGCCGGGTTCCAGCAAGGTATTCCTGGCAGCCAACAGCTTTCCCCTCGCCAACCTCCGTTCAGTAGTGCACAACAAGTTCCACAACAACAGCAGCAACAACAGCAACAGCAGTGGCAGCAAAGTGCCAATGCCCGCCTATCCATACAACAGCAGAACCCGATGCTCAATGCTCAACTATCGGTAGGTCTCTTTGCGGTTTTTTCAATCACAATCTTCAGCAGGGGAGTTTAACACTGTTCCTTCTATTTCAGACGGTACCTGTACCCAATCGACAATTCGTAGCACCGCAGCGACAACGATCGCTCAACTCGCCCGGAACTCCAAGGCAGGGTTCGTTCGCCGGAACGGTGGATGTCAGTGGTTTCCCCGGACCACCAAGTCCCTCGCAGTCCAATACCGGCCCCGTACCCAACTACGGTAATCCTGTCTTTGCCAGTCAGCAAATGAGGCTCCAAAGACAGGGCAGCGTTCCTCCTCAGGCTACCCAGCATCTACCGGGTAAGTTTCTCTTCTCCTCTAATACGACCAAAAGCGCGCTATCTTCCTTCGAACAGCTATTTAATACGAATGCTTCCGATCACGCTTCACGGGAATGATGTAAAATCTGAGCTGTAATCTAGCGTAAGCGAATGAGCGGGAGGGTTCCTTGAACGATCAAAAATTGGCCAAAATTTCCAAATTTCCTACACACCTCAAGCTCCTTGCACTTGCATTTCAAGATCAGCAAATTTCTTCAATCATAACTGTGTAAAAGAACGAACTGGGTGCGCGTTTAGCAACATTGCAAAAACATTACCATTCAGAAAGACACGCGGGGGAAACATTAGTCAAGACAAACAACAGGTCTAAACCGAGCTGTTTCCCGCAGGATCGCCACGTCCCTCGTACGGAGGACATGGACCCGGTGGTCCGGATACTAGTGGCTATGGGATGATGTTCAACAATGCCGCAATGCAGCAGCACACGGCGGGCTCACCAGGCGATTACTTCAATCGCAGTCAAGCTGGTAAGCAGCACCCACCCAACCAAATCTCTAAAAACACCCACACACACACATACACATATCAACCCGCCCCCCGCACGCACACATTTCAATGTTGAACATATACACATAAACATACATACCGAGCGCCCTCAGTGTACCTCAGTTCATTTTCGTCTCTTCCGTTTCGCCGCCGCACCCACTCTCATCAATATGCAAATTCCATTTATAAAAATCAAATGCAATCGTCTTATTGCTACTCATCCGTTTTATACATGTGCTGTACTTTCTGTCTTGTTGTCGTTGTGTGTTGTCGTGATTTTTCGTGTTTCGAAATTTCAGAAACCTTTGGAGCAATTCGATCAATTTGGCCGTTTCAACTACCAACACTATACCTTCTATCCTGTTCTGTTCATTCTGCTGGGGAAAATCAAAAATAAATACATGCCGGAAAACAAAGAACTAACAACTGTGCATTGTCATCCACCATACCATTCCTGTGTACATACATACTAACGTCACCCGATTCGGCACTGGTTTGGTCACCTTAAAATTGAGCACCTTTCTCATGTCTGATCCAACCCTCATCCGTCTTTACATCTAAGTAAGCGTGTAATCTAACCCAACCCACCATCCGCTGTAAATAAACTCCGCTGTAAACAAACGCTCTCTTTCTCTCTGTCGGGCGACGCTCGTGCTCCTTCGATCATGGATCTGCTGCGAGAAAGAGATGCCTGTGAGAGATAGAGAGAATCAGAAGCAAAACCCGGTCGTTTACTCTTCTTGCAGGTGCCAACAACGGTGGGCTGGTCACATCCGAACACGTCCGACAAGAGTTGAGGGCAGTAGTCTCGGTTAGGGCACAGAATGCAGCAAGTGGCGGTGTTGGTGGAGCGGGCGGCCTACGAACACCGCAAAGTCCGATTGGAATGTCGCCCATGGGAGCCGGTGGAGGAGGAGTAGGAGGAGGAGCAGGCGGTACCAACGCTGGCGGCGGAGGTGGTGTTATGGCAGGAATGGGAGGGTCCAACAGTGGAAATGCCGGAGGCGTCGTTGGCAGTCCGAGTCATGGCGGAATGGGACCGAGTAGTAACGGTTCCGTACTCAGTCCCGGCATGGGCGGTATCACAGGGAATCTAGTTAGTAGTGGTGGTGGTGGTGGTGGAAGTGGAACGGGATCAGGAACAGGAGTAGGAGGAAATGGTTCTGGCAACGGGGACGGTATGCAGACATCACAGTTACCAGGTACGTCATCGTTACTCAACACACCAGGCGACATGGATCCGTCAATGCTATTCAACTTTCACCTCGCGCCGAAAGGTTAGTGTGTTCGTTTAGTCTCCGATCAAGACCAAGAATCTTCCCGTCATACACTGAAAAAATAAATATTTACACCCACCCTTCTATGTCAAGCACCGCGCCCAACTGCTATAACAAATGAATCTCTAACTCTCTAACGAAAGAGCAAACTAAGCCGAAAATTCGGCACTGCACCCACCCACAGCCCCACAAAAACTACACCCACTAACCTAATTCATCCCTAATCTGGTGTTCTCTTTCTCTCTCTCTCTATTTAATATCTCTCTCTTTCTGTATCTTCTCTATTGTGCTTCCTTTCACTGCGAACTCCCGATGTCCCGTAAACAAACTTATTCGCGAATCAAATCGAAAATACTCGCCAGAAATCGGTGCATCGATTTTAGATAGTAAATTGCTAACCGCTAGCGAATGGCCATCGGGAACCGACGAAAATGTCAACCCTGTCAAAAGGGTAAGAGATTGGACGATTGGTGGTTAGAAGTTGAAAATATTCATACCCTGTTGGACACGAGAAAATAAAACGAAAAAAAAAATGGTTAACTAGTTTCCGCTGATGATGTATTTGTCGTAAATTTCATGGATTTGTCATCATTTGGTTTTCATTGTTTTTTAATTTCGACCCATTATCATTGACCTTCACTTGTCATTGGCTATATTTTTGTCTCAAATTGATGCAGATCTTTCGAGTTGGCCTAGATTTTTTTTAAATGTGATTGATCACTTTTCGGCCAAGTAGTATTTAACTAAATCCGATACATATTCGACGTTGTTCTAGGTTGTCCAAATCGTCATAAACATCATGTCACAGGATCTTCAAGCCTAGCCTGAATTATTAAAAAAAAATTAACGACGATCATTTACGTACCACTTTCGTGGATGAAATACGTTCAAGTTTTAAGTTCTGTAACTGTGGACTTATTTCCTAGAGCCTGAGCTTTTTCATTTTAGCCATAAAGTGTCTTTAGAAGATTTGTTTGTATTAATTTTAGGGTGGGGCGAATTTACAACCCTCTGTTCCCCTTTGCTCTATCAATGCGTATTATGGTCTTCAACAACTGTGCAAAATTTGAACGGATTTGGTTATAATCTATTAATAATCTTAATATTTCGATATCGTTCTTGCACAATATCCTGAAACTTGACCTGAGATTTCAAACTTCCAAGAAATGGAATGTTCATGAAGTTTCAGAGACTTCGCCGAAAATAAGGCTCTAAATAGCAATTCTTCTAAAAACTGTACTCGAAAAAATTAACAACAAAAATTCACCTTGACCTTCACCACCTTGGACTTAACCAAAGACAACAAATCAAGAAGACTGGCAACTCTTCCATTTTCTCATACGAACGCTATGAGACAGGTAAATGCTTCGAACGAATTTGATAGCAAAGATTACATCCTGAGAAGAAGGGTTTGTGTATTTGCTCATTTTTCTATGCGTTGCTTCCACCTTCACTCAAGCGCAGCGCCATTGTATCTGTCGCTTGGATTCTGGAAAAGTTGCCAGTCTTCTTGATTTGTTGTCTTCGACTTAACGCTACCCATCAAATCCTGTGCAACATTTGCGGCATCTATCTTACCAAGGGGTAGGTCACTCCGCACACCAATCTTGGGTCATCTTTTTTGTCAGTGTGCCACAAGTGTGCACCAGGTGTGCTGATTGCGCCGGTCATAGAGCAAGTTGCGATTGTTTGTAAAATTCCTATCCCGGTAACCCGATATTTCTGACACCTTGAATGTTTTGGTTTGAAATCGCAAGGATAAATCGGATTAAGGATGACGTGGGGAGTGGCGGGTATGCTAAATTTTGGTGTTTTGTATTTCATAAAAGTACTGTGTTTTTGTGTTTTATAATGCCCTCAAAGGCAGACCATCGGAATGCATCGGTCTATCAGCGGCCGAAAAGAGTTGGAACCGGTGGGGAGCATTGTTGGAGACCGACTATAGAGGACGATGAATAGACTTCTTTAGTTTGTTTTGTGTGAGCATTATTTGAATTAAGGGTACTAATGGGGTCTGATTAACTGCCTCTTTCTCTTGAGCCCACTCTAGAACCTATATTTCGTATTTAGATCTAAAAGTGAACTGCTAGTCTGAGTTCCTCTGGTATATTCAATAAGAGGATGTTCCCGAATATACAGTCAAACTGCACTTAATGTTGTGAACAACTTCAATGACAGTTGTCCAGCAGTGCTCCTATTTTATTTACAACAATCCTACGAGATTGTGCCGAAGGTGTGCCTGTGGATGTACTCAAGCTGTAGCGAATCTCATTTCGGCACAATGTGCTGAGTGACTTACCCCTTGTATCTTACACACTTATCCACCTGGGTATTGCGAATGCTGTCTATTTAATTTTTCAAGTTAGCAAGAAAACATCTTGAAAATCTTTCGAAGCTTCAAATTGTTTTGCTGAAACAGCTCACGAAATCGTATATACATGCTGTCAAATGAACTCTTGGCTCCTCCTTCTCTGCTCCACCAATAACGTATACACGCAAACCAAAAATCTATTACAATGAATGTTAGTTCCGTTTCCTATCATCCTCTGTTCATGAACATCGCAACGAATGTTAGCAATTGACCATGCAGGCGATGTAATGGTTTTTTGTCTTTATTATTTCGTGTTCTATCTACGCTTTGGACTATACCAGTAAGCTTGTAGAACGACGTACATTGTAGAACATTGTAAAACGACACACACACTTGCCTCGAAACGACACACACACTTGCCTCGAAGCATACGAAGTCGAGTATGCGAGAAAATGAGCGCTTCATGTTTGCTTTTAGGCAATCCATATTTAGAAACATGGAGAGAGCAGTGGAGAAAGCACAGGTCTGATAATCGCAACGTTCGTGGTTCGAACCCAGTCGGCAATCTGTTTCCTATTTTTTCGGCATAACTAATTTACCTCACTAATACAGCTACAGCTACAGCTACAAAGCAAGACCATGCTGGAGGTGGCTGGGTTCAATTCCCGGTCCGGTCTAGGAATTTTTCGGGTTGGAAAATTTCTCGACTTCCCTGGGCATAGAAGTATGATTGGACTTGCCACACAATTATACCAATGCAAAAATGGTACAGGCATCGAAAGCTTTCAATTAATAACTGTGGAAGTGCATCTAGATCATTAAGTTGAGAGCACGCAATAAGCTAATATGCGATATGCAATAAGCTTGAAATGCGAAGAAGAAGAAGAAGAAGAAGACAGATCGCCTGCCTCACTAAATACTTCTTGGCAAATGTGTCGACGTTCTTCTTCCGGAACTTCTCCAGAACATCCAGGCGGGACTTGCCGACGAATAACTCATGGCCGGGGATCTGCTTGGCGTCCGGTTTAATGTGCGTCTCGTCGTCAATTACGATGCATTTCGGTTGAACCAATCACTCGTGGTGCGGAATTTGGCCACCGTATTCTGTGGACGAACCAGACGGAAGAATTGACCTTCTTGGCCACGTCCCGAATCGAAAGGTTCGGATTGCGCTTGAAGTAATCCCTCACCTTCCTTGCGTTCACGCCGCTGGGTCGTCTGGATCTCCTTGAACGATTGTGCCACACGGGACACGGTTGAATTGTCGATTCCAAACTGTTTCGCGATCCACCCGTGGGAATGGCCTGAATTTTCCACGACCGCTCCCATAATGTTTTGCCGAGGCACTTCTAGCTTGAAGGCCATCTCGATAACCACTTGACAGATTGTGACGAGAATTTCCACATGTAAACATTACACTCTAAACTAGATTTACTCAAAATTTCATCAATTTTTACCCTTGCAAACATAACATGCAAGTTATACACAAAAGCAAGTGTTGCATTTTTTTCGAGTTTAGTTCAATTCATCTAATTATCTTTAAAAATATCCAGATATCTACGAATACCTCCATAAAAAAGCCTGAAATTTTCACAAAATATCTTCAAATACTTGAAACGACTTTTGAAAATTGTGGAACCTTTAGATTTCTAAAGGTTATTTCTGGGAGATTTCTAAAATGGTTCAATTTATCTAAATCGAGTATTAGTACAAGACACTGAAGAAGTCTGCACATTGTAGACGAAATACGCGTATCTGTCAAGGATAAGCAAATTAAGTAGTGGAATTAAATGGAAAATACTAATCCTTCTCTCTCTCATTATATCAATTTATCTAATTATCTGGATTTCACGCGGTTTTTTACACGGTTTTTTTACGCGGATCTCGGAATTTACGCGGTTTTTATACGCGGATTCCGGAATTCACGCGTTTTTTTTACCCGCGTAAAAAGCGACTCCAGTGTACTTGCGAAACAACTTGTTAAGGATCAATTTGGTTTAAAAAATATTTTATTTACCATGTGTAAATGTGGATGATTTCTAAAATAGTTGAAGCTATAGTTCAATTGATCTAATTATCTTTAAAAATATTTCGAATTTTTAAAATAGTTCAATTTATCTAAGTATCTGTCACACTTGAATGAATTAATCATATCATCCAGCCACAGAGATGGCGCTGTTCCGCTGGTAGAAGTTGATAGAAATCCCTGTATAGAAATTGAAAAAAAAAGTGGGAATAATTCGCCTTCGGTGCATATTCAGGTAAAAAAAAGGGAACGGCAAACTAAACTAGGGACTTTTTCGTTTAGTTTTTCCAGGAAATTAAAATTAATCAATCTACAATTAAATCAAAATAATTTTTCCCCATACAGTTTTACTTGCTTTACTACCAGTCCTCAGAGACTCAAAAAATTCAAATTTTAGAGAGAAAAACCTCAATCTCTCAACATGCCATGTATTTTGATGACACTCGATTTGTGATTTCCCTTTCACAGATTACAAAATAGAGTACCTAATACTACAAAACATGTCTAGTACCTCTATATATGTATGCATTTATATTAACATTCGAAGTCCCTCCTTTTTACATATTCTGAACAAAAGATACTTTAAGCCCCGCCCCATTCATAAAAATCGGCTGGAAATTCTGTAAGGGGTGAGCTATTTTATATCTAGATAGAGCTAGAATT